GTATAGATAAGTTTATGATTATATTTTTGTAAAGAAACTTATCTTTACAAGAGCTATACTTAACTAATGCATTGAGATAGACGGAAAACAATAGTGAATTTGCGCATACCAAAATGAGAAAGTCGTCGAAGTTAGTCTTCATAAAGCAATTTATTTCATGAGATTCAATCAAAATGTCATATGTGATTAAACAAAAAAATTAGCCAAAGAGAGAAATTAAACAAAAAAAATATTCCTTTGATAAATGTTGTAAAATCCTAAAAGTTGTATTAGAGTTTTTTTTTAGTTGTGTATTTAAATTGAACTATCTGCTAATTTTTAAATTCAAAAATTTAAACTATAAAAAATAAGTAGAAAAATAAAAAAAAAATATATCCATATTTTCAATAAATAGTATTAGTAATACAAAATATTACTTAAAACAGACGGATAAACGGATCGAATGATACATTATTTTTACCCAGCCGGACCCAAATAGTCCATGGCCCCCAAAATACTTACAAAACCCATTCCTCAAGAAAACAATTACTTTAAAACAAAAAAAAAATTGATAAAATTGCCTTAGTGTCAAATTTTGAGATCTGCAGAAGATGAGCGACGGAGACGACGCCGCTAGACGCCGTACCGCGGCGGTGACTGATTACCGGAAGAAGCTCCTTCATCACAAGGAGCTCGAATCCCGTGTCCGCACAGGTTCTATTTCAAAATCTTCCTCATTCTCTTCTTTCGTTTTCTGGGTTTAGATTTTGAAAGGTCTTGGCTCAAAATCGAATCTAGGGTTTGTTCCTACTCTTCGTTCCCACTAGAAATCTCGACACTTTATTATACTTGAAATAGTGACGCGATTTTAGAGGATTTGGAGTTTCGAATTGAATTGGTTCCTTTGTTTCTTCACTTGATTAGTCAATTTGAAGTCGATCTTAAGCTTAATTCCACTTCTTATAGTTCTATAAAACGGGTCTTGTGGCTATGCAGCTAGGGAGAATTTAAGAGCAGCTAAGAAGGAATTCAACAAAACTGAGGATGATCTGAAGTCTCTTCAAAGCGTTGGTCAGATTATCGGAGAAGTACTACGTCCTCTTGATAATGAGCGATGTAATTTTTTGTCTCTACCTTATGTTTTTGATTGAATCCTACACTTTGTGTTTCTATCATCTAAAGGTGGAATTTTTGTTCTTCTTTTAGTGATTGTGAAGGCAAGTAGCGGTCCTCGTTATGTGGTGGGTTGTCGTAGCAAGGTGGACAAGGAAAAGCTGACTTCGGGAACTCGAGTTGTCTTGGATATGACTACGCTGACTATAATGCGAGCCCTTCCTCGTGAAGTATGCTTGATTTCAGAATTTTACTTGTTTTTGTAGCTGCTTTAGTGTTTTGTACTGGATTTAACTCGGTGGTATCCTTTTGATGGTAGGTCGATCCTGTTGTTTATAACATGTTGCATGAAGATCCAGGTAACATTAGTTACTCTGCAGTGGGTGGTTTAGGTGATCAGATTAGAGAACTCAGAGAATCTATTGAGCTGCCTCTCATGAATCCTGAACTTTTCCTTAGAGTAGGGATTAAACCTCCTAAGGTACTTGATCTCTCTCCAGTCACTTCTTTGTTGTCACAAACTATCCCATACTTCACTTTTTATGTTTCCCTTTGCATGTGGTTACCAGTATGAACGATTAGAAGAATTGAAACGCACTTCAAATTTCATTAATACTAATTAGTGTTCCTCTCATTCCAGGGTGTCCTTCTCTATGGACCTCCGGGTACTGGAAAAACATTACTAGCTAGAGCCATTGCCAGCAACATCGACGCCAACTTCTTAAAGGTTTGATTTTGTTGTTGAAGGTCTGGTTTACTGTTCTGTTTTATTATGCCTTATTTGTGCTAAATAAACTCTTTTTTTGCCTTTATATTTAGGTTGTATCAAGTGCAATCATAGACAAATACATTGGAGAAAGTGCTAGGTTGATTCGAGAAATGTTTAACTATGCTCGTGAACACCAGGTAGAATACCATCTTTTTCCTCTTGTCTTGATATACTTTATATTGATGTTCATGACTTTCGATTAACACTCCTTCTGCGGCTAGCCTTGTATCATTTTCATGGATGAAATCGATGCTATTGGTGGGCGCCGTTTTAGTGAAGGAACTAGTGCTGATCGTGAAATTCAAAGAACACTTATGGAGTTACTCAACCAGCTTGATGGGTTCGACCAACTTGGAAAGGTATGACCTATAGTTTTAGATTAGTGCTCGTGCATAACACTGTGGTTAAGTTATTTCGCTAGCTGAGGTTGTTGGGGATACCTATAGTTCAAATTGCTTTTGCTTTCCAACTTATGTTCACACAAGTGGTAAAAATATGATATTATCATGAGTGTTCGTTACTTTCATTAAATATATTTGTCCTCCAAAATTCTTTGTACAGAAGATTATTTTCTGATACTTGGGAGATAATACTATTTAGGTGAAAATGATAATGGCCACCAACAGGCCTGATGTTCTTGATCCTGCACTTCTCCGTCCGGGTAGGTTAGATAGAAAGATTGAGATCCCGTTGCCAAATGAACAATCAAGAATGGAAATCCTCAAGATCCACGCCTCTGGTATTGCCAAGCATGGAGAAATAGACTATGAGGCTATCGTGAAACTTGGAGAGGTTTGTTTGTTTTTCTTACACGCTCACTGCGTTGTTGTTTTGCCTTTGTTATATATTATAAGATCCCACTGACTGTTCCTCTAAATCAACATTCATAGGGTTTCAATGGTGCTGATCTACGTAACATATGCACTGAAGCTGGCATGTTCGCTATCAGAGCGGAGCGTGACTATGTAATCCATGAAGACTTCATGAAGGTAGAAACAAAAATAAATAATCTGCATTTTTACATATTTATTTGTATCCAAACTTTTCTGCTTATCACATTGTCGGTTATACAGGCGGTGAGAAAGCTGAGCGAGGCCAAGAAACTTGAGTCGAGCTCTCACTATAACGCAGATTTCGGGAAAGAGTAAGAAAAGAACGAGCTCAGAGAAGAAGAGAGGGCAGTGAAAAACTCTGTTATTCACTTTGAAAAACAAGCTAATGATTCTGTTTCAGTTTCTCAATGTTTTGTTTTGAGGTTTTTCGTATACACAAAAATTCTTGCTTTAGTAATGACAACAATTTCTGTTTATGCATCCTATATCTAAATTATCTACATCTCAATTGCCGTTTGAATCATCTTCCGGCGCCACAGATTTCTTCTTGCCTATCTAAGTTGTTGGTTTTTAATGTTAACAAAAAAAAAGTCATCATTTAGTGAAATTCGTTGATAAATCAAAAGTTGTATAAATATGTGGGCTTTACTCGTTATTAACGAGTCGTTAGCATTAATGTTTTTTGGTTATTATTATTATTTTAATAAAAATCGTGAAAATATCAGTCAATCTATATTTTATAACCTCCAACTAAATTACTAGTCGGTTCTTTTTTTTTTTCAAATAAATTACTAATAAAAACACCTTTTAAATGATGACAAAAAAACACCTTTTAAATAAGAGATTTTAATGGGGAAAAAAAACCTTCGTTTATATTTCCGCCTAAGCAGATCTCGTTTAATCAATAATTTGTGTTGTTACTTGTTAAATACCGACTTGTGTATATTTTCGTTAGACTTAAAACAACACGGTATTTGTTATTAAAAGAAATGAAAATCTAAGTCCTAATGTCGATTTAAAAATTCCAAAATCGTGAGAAATAGAAACCGTCGTCGTTAGTTCTCGTGCTTCTCATTTATTTCAGATGAGTTTAACTCTTAAATTTGTCCATTATCATTGTTTACGTAGCTTAGAATGTTGGCACAGGCTTTTCTCAGAAGACCGTGCGGCGGTCGATAATCTCAATATTGCCCGACCCAGCCTTCTTACCATCGACCATCTCCAACTGGTTTCGCTCTGTCTTGGGCTCATCAGGTGATCGGCTCAAGATCACGACCAGTTTGTGCAGGGATGGCCTAACCCCCTCTTCTGAGTCTGATCCTCGATCAGCGACAGACACTTGAACTCGACCTGAGTTATTCTGTCTAACTCCAAATGGACTCTCCAACCTGAGTCCTACACACCACTCACTGAACCACGTTCACCTGCTCCAATGGAATGGTCCCGCGGAAGCAACGCGACTGTCACAATCTAAAACATATATATCTTTACAAAGATTTTACAAAAACATAATTTAAATAAGTAACATTGTTTTAGGAATTTTTTTCCCCCAATTTTTTAAACATTTATGATTAAATTCGATTAGTTTCATTACACAAATAACCAATATATGAAATTTTCAATAGTAATACATTAAAATATATCACTCAATGAAATATGTTGTCACATTTTTACTTTTATGCTTACGTATTTATATATTTCCAAAACATACAATTATATTTAAATTTGTATTTTACAATATAAAATTTATATCGTGAGACATCGTCTAGCATAATCGTGATTGTTTACGGCTTTCAAATCTGTAAAAGCCACTTTTCTTCTTACGTCCATAAATCAAACCAAGCAAGCTTTGCTTAGGTTTTAGAGTTCACAGCCAAAACACTAAATTTTTGCCCAAGGGGTCCTTTTTTCCACAGCCCCAATATTATGTCCTACAAGGCTCTGGGTATTTCCTCTCTATATATTACGTATATCTATATTTATGTTAGTTACATCACCGGCTGAAACCATAATTCGGAAATTTAGGTAGAAGACAATGTATGATTTTGCATATATTCATTAGTTTGGGTAATAAATTTGAATTAATGATTTGTTGAAGTACGAATTAGCAAAGTAGTGTATTTGATATATGAATCGAACATATTTCTTTACTTGAAGTATGAGATAGCCTTTTTCAATGTCTCGAGATAAGTATGAGAAAAGATCTGCACCTAAACCAAAACTTTGACCAAGGATGAGTTCGCCCTAATTTTCTTTTCTCTCTAGCACGAAGCCCGAGAGAGCCATTGAAGTTCTTCATCTCTGCTATGGAGCTTCACCTTTACTCTTCTTCCGTTGGTCTATCCCTTCTGTGTAAAGCCTTTCTCACCTGAAGACATCACTTAGTTGGCTGCCTCCGCCGTCTCTGTTTTCCGGCGAGAATCTTTTTCAACCTTTCTCACTTGTTGTGAAGATCTTATGACGTTCTTGGTTAAGCACAATCTCATGTCTCCGATGAGGCCAATTACGCCCTCGGTGGTCTCCCCTCTGCTGGAACCACCAGATCTGCTCATGCTTTCCTTGTCTAGGCTTCCTCCGGCTACGTTGATCTTTCGCCGAGATAGGCTGCTTCCGCCGCCTCTTCTTTCGCAAATCTCGTGGTTGCGCTTCACCAGAGTTTCGTCAACAAGTATCTTCTTCTCGGGATCCGCCTTTGATTCCCGAAGAATTATCTCCCTTCCTGGGAACAGCTACACCGTCAATTTCTCCTCTGCCTCTCCGAAAATTCAAACGCTTTGGTCTATCCAAGCGATTCTGGTGACTCCATCGACTTCGGCCTCCATCTCGGTCTCAATGTCCGATGGATTTCTGATCACCACAATCTCTAGATTGTTAGATCTGGTGGTCGGAGATCTTGTTTCGGCTGAGCATGGTCTCGCCTGCTCTCTGCCATGCCCTTCAATCGGCAAGAAATACTTCCACCGTTCTCCGGTTAACCTCATCACTGAAGTTGAACCACTTTTTCCACCTCGATTGGGATTTTCCTCGACAAACTGGAATGGTTCCCCGACGATCAACGGCCGCCGCCTCCTCTGCACTCAAAACGCTGAAGTTGTCCCTAGGGTTTCTAGTGGACCAAGTTTGGGCATAGCTGGTAATGGGCTAGGTTATGGATTTACTACTAATGGGCCTTACAGAACAAAAGCCCAGAACTGCTTTTGGAAGAGAACATCTTCGAATTCCTCCCTGTGGGAGAGACCATTGTTATATTACCTCATTTTTGGCTTATCAGAGACTAAGGATATGTTGTATCTCTTTCCAAATTTTAGAGCTTGTATAGCTTTTGTTTCTCTCTTTGTAAAAGATTCTCTTGAACTTGAACTTATGGGAGGTTATACTCTTATGTTCTCAAATGACTATCCGGTTCGTTTGGTGTCGATTAATGCATGTTTGTGGGTTCTTGAAACTTCAATTAGAAACCAAGTAATTACATTTTTGTTCATCCGGTTGTTAAAGACCGAGACTCTAATTGGATAAGTTTGGGCGATAATGGCACGCTTAGAGGAGATGTATGGTTCTTGAAAGATGATTACTTTTTGATCACCGTGTATGAGGAAAAGAGAAGAACAAACCACCAACTAAACACTTCGCTTCTTATTTCACTTGATTCCTCCTTCATGGAGAGACTATTCCCCCTTTCCCTCTTCCTTGTAAGGGAGTTTTACCGAAAAGTTGTTAGGCCTTTGCTATTTGACGGTTCAAAGGCTCCTAAGTTTCAAGAAAGCGGGTGTGAAAGTAGCTCTCTAATATCATTTATTCTCTTGAACCATATGAGAGAAAGGATGGCGAGCATTTTATGTGGCCCACGCTTTGGCATTCTCCTGGTTATTGATTGGAAAAAGGCTTTGGGTCCCCTTTTTCTACTTGTTACGTGTGTTAGGATCCTTCTCATATGTGTCGGCAACGGCGTATAGTTTGCGAGAGTTTTCTCTCGTCCTACTTGTGACCACCCTTTTCAGGGATTGGGTGTCTCGGCACTTCAGGCGCAAGTTTGGAACTTCAAAAACATACGAAACCTTGTTTGTTTCGTGATGCAATGTATCTCAAGGTGGCTGGCTTCATGGCATCGTCAAGCGTTTTGTCATACCGAGTGGCTTACCTCTGCGTTGGAACGCGTTATCCTTTGGATCTTTAGATCCTTTTATCCCTTTTTCAATTGTATTTTCTTATTTTGTTGTTTATCTATCCGGGTGTTGCGTGATGTTCAAGAAAGAGCAGCCCGTAAGTACTTTTATTCCCATGTAAGTTTATCGGTTTCTGTATGGCTCTCCTTAGCGGAGAATCCTTTATCCGTAGCTTAATAAAATGGTGTTTGACGAAAAAAAAAAAAAAAAAAAAAAGATAAGTATGAGAAAAGATCCACGGACCACGATCATAAGAACTTGTCAATACTACGTACGAGATGGAGTGGTGTATAACACAACGAAAATGCTTAAGACCATTCTCTTTTCTTTAATAGATGGTATATCGTTATTTGAAAACTCAACCGGATTAAAGTATAGTCAGTGTTTAAGGCCAAAAAATTAAATTTAATAGCTTATAATGAAGATACAACAACAATTCATTATAAACTTCGAAAGACTTTTGCTTTCACAATCAACCTTCAAACTCCAATATTCTCAACCTTCTCCGTTCATATAATAGTTCATTTTCTGTTTAGAATAATGACGAGGCTTTATTTATTTTATTATAAAAATTTAACTTTAATTTTTTGAGAGACTAGACCATGACGAGGCTTTATTTTCAGGTGTTGTCTTCTCTTTGGTGGTCGCTGTGGGATGTTAACCTGATCGTTCGAGTCCTTTTGTTCCCCTGAGAAAGGATCATCGAGATGGTTAGGTTTCGCTCCCTGTCTTTGCATTTCCGCATCTTGTGTGATCGGATTGCTTCTTTTAGGCTTTTATCTAGGCGCTCTATGACGGACCATCGTCTCCGCCGCATCCGGAAGTGTTTTATGAGGATCAGTTTTGGCCTTTACTTGTCGGGTTATGAAGTCTTGGTTACTTGGTTTCGAGAGATCATCTCTCATCATGATGGGAGGAAGCAGATGTTATCGATTGGTTGGCCGTGGGCAGCATTGGTAAATCGCATTCTCAAGTTCTTCTAAAGATAAGGTCTTCTTTGGTGCTTATGTCAAGTGTTTTTCTTCGGGTTTAAGTTTGTATGCTTCCTTAGGTTTTGGTTTCGATCTCTTTCGATTTCGGCTTTAAAATTTCTTGTTTATAATGTGTTCATGTTTCCCTTACATAGGGCTTAGTTTCCGGGGAATTTACGTTTTCCTCCGGCTTAGTTTCCGAGGACTTTTCTTTCGTCCGTCGGCTTAGCTTCCCTTGTTTGGGATTTGTATTTCACCTTGATACCAAAACAAATTTCAATAATAAAATTTCAGATGACAAAAAAAAAAAAGACCATGACGAGCGTCTTTGTCTTAATTTTCTATTGACAAACGTAAAACTTTTTTGTTTTATTTTTTATTAATATAGTATAATAAAATAGATAAAAATGACTACAAATAAAAAATAAACAAAATTACAATTGGATTGATCTCTAACTAAGTAGACTTTTTGTTTGACTTTGGCTTCTTAAAAAGTTTATATCTCATCATTCCGAAGATTTTATAGAACCAAAATATGCTCACGAGTTGTAATCCTGATCCCATTGCCTGTAAGAAAATAAAATAACATATCATTATAGAATCAATATTCAAATTAAAAATTATGATACACTGAGAGATTAATCGACATAATATATGTATATATTTTTTCTCGATGATAAAAGCTCTATTTTGGTTTGGAGAACAATACACTTGTGTTAGAAAAAATTCACATATTAAAAAAAAAAAAACAAGTGAGAAATTGATGAATTAAAAATTGGAAACTAAATTAAAAACCGAAACGAAAGATTTCATATTGTAAAATATTTAGATATCTTGTTTTTTTTTCTTTTTGATAAATAAATAAAGATATCTTGTTGACGAAAATAATTTAAAAACAATTTCTTGGTTGGTGGGAAAGATAAATAAATACCTTGATGAAGATGGGATTATCAGCTGATAGACTGACGTAAACAAGAAAAGGTCCACACACAATCCTCGCCAATGTGAATATAGTGGCAAAACACACCTATCATCAATTAATACAAAGCATGGTGGTGCTTTTAGAAGCTTCATACAAAAAAAAATAGATTTAACTTTGACTTAATAAAATATTGCTAAAATACAAAAGACAATATATAATGCTAAATTGCTAATAAACCAGAGAAGTAGATTAATTGGGGTTTTTACAGGAAGACCTTAACTAATAAATCTTAAACGTCAAATTTTTAGCAATTGCAATTGAAAGTTACCATAATAAGACTACTATAGACATTTGTTTTCATATCCAGGTGACCCGGACTTTTATTATCCCAGTAATCATTTTAGGTTAAGTGTAGCCGTTGTCCAACAACTATAACATTTTAAGCAACAAAAATTAATTACTTGATTCTAAAGGAACAGAGAGGTTTCGAGTTATAATCTACATCGTTTACTAAAGAAATATTGAACTATGTTATTTTAGTATTTTTAAGATTGTGTAGAAGTTACATCTAGCATTATTCCATTTTCGGAAAGAATACAATTGTTCTGTTTGCATTAACTAGGAGTTGATGATGGAGTAAGGACTACATTCAGAGCCGTGCTTCTAGTGTAAGTAAAAAGGCATTTGCCTTAGGCCACATGAAATATTAACATTTTAAAGGCCACATTTCTATATATTTTTTTAATAAGTGTAATTAGATTATATGATGAACTCTTCCACAATATCATACTTTGAAATCATTTCTTAAAAAATACATGTATATCTATTATTAATCCTTACATACACATCTATACTAGTATTTTTGCAACATTTTGGTGACGGATGGATAAAAATGCTTATGGGTTAATCGGATATCGACCCGTTTCCAAATTTTGATCATAAAATTTTTTTTGGGTCGGGTTATATTTAACCCAACTCATACACCGGATATTCCATATTTAATAAATTTAGATATTTAGAATTATGATTCTCCTATCATCTTTGTTTGATTTGTTTTTAACTGTTTTGAATCATCATATAATACATAAAGTAAAAAAAATATCAATTTTTTTTTCTGCATATACTGTGATTCGAAATTTTAAAAACGGACATATATTATCCAGTTGACGAAAATGTGTGTTCAACGTTCTACATCGATTAAAATATTTAGACAATTATTCAGAATCATATCATAAATAAGATCAACATTAATAAAATAAATGAGTTTTTTGGTTGGACGATTTTGGCGGGACGATTTTTTGAATCAACAATAATAAAAAGATTAATATGTCGCTTCAATACGGATTAAATTCTTAATTTTTTTTAATACCACCAATATTAGACATATCAAATCAACCTCATTTAGAAAAGATAGTATAAAATCAAAAATTTTCATGTGGTATAATGTTACTTAATAACAATTGTAAACTATAAAATATAAATGTCTTTGAAAATGATACAATTTAGAAAATTTTATCTATAATAAATAATCGTTAAATTTTTTAAAATTACTACTTTTAGAAAATAAATTACGGGACGGGTTAAGAAATTACATGACGGGTTATATGGTGGACGAGTTTGAATCAACATTTATAAATATTTTAAAATATCATTAACATGTCGCTTTAATACTGATTAAATCCTTAGTTTATTAAAATATAAATGTCTTAGAGAATGATACAATTTATAAACTTTATATATAATAAAAAATCATTAAATTTTAAAATCACTACTTTTAGAAAACAAATCACGGGACGGATTAAGAAATTATGGGATGAGTTATATTTTGGAACGGATTGATATGGCGAACGGGTTTGAATCAATATTTATAAAATTTTAAAATATCATTAATATGCCGCTTTAATACGAGTTAAATCCTCAGTTTATTATTGTTCCGTGAACTCGTGATATACCGTTACTTGATAATAATTATAAACTATAAAACATAAATATTTTATAAGGAGATACAATTTATAAAATTTTATATATACTAACTTTAAAAAATAAATCATTACACCGCGGGTTAAAATCTAGTACTAATATGCATAAAAGAATTTTTTTTCTTTTTTGTTACATGTTAGGGAGTTATAAAATTGTAAAATTAATACATTAACTATAATGATTTTATAGTGCTTTAAGTCATATTTGTTAAAAACAAAAATTTGAGTGATTAGTAAATTTTTTAAAAAGGCCACATAATTTACAAGTTGTCTTAGGCCTCTCAAAGCCTAGGCACGGCACTGACTACATTAACATGTTTAGTCTCGAGTTCGAAAAAAACTATTGACCAGCTTAAAAAAATGATAAATATATTTCTTTTTAAAAAAAGTTTCTTTGAATTTTTATAATATCTATCCATTTGTAAATTGTTAGATCACACAAAAAAGATGATTGCAAATATAAGTATACTCACATCAGCGGCTAGATTGAGGCTGGTGTCTTTGTATCCAATCTCTTTGAGAATCTCCCTAAGGTGGAAAAAAGGACTCGATATTTCTGCTACCCACAGTGTAGCCACAATCTCAGATCCAGACTTCAAAACAATATATGTTATCAAAATTTAATAAAAACTCTCATATATTTTCCAATAGTAACCATTAATTTAAAGAAAATAATAGTAAAAATACCTTTTGGTAAGCAAGTCCAGCTATAAAACCAAGAATGCTAACAAAATGATGAACCGCATTATCAATGCTAAACACTTTATCGAAATGACAACATATAAGATCGTAGATCATGTACGATAACGAAAACGCCATCACGTCCATCTGTTTTGTGTTTTTAATCACAGTTTGGTTACAATGTCCAAAAAAGAGTGATTATATATAAGTTAAGAGAAGTGATGATGTGATTAAGAAGAACCTGTTTAGGAGATGGCTTAGAAGCAAGGGGACAAACAGGGCAAGACAAATCTTGAACAGAGAGTGTTGCTAAAGTGACAGCGATTGTCGCGTGAGCCGTGGAAAGAAGACGGTTGCTGAAGCTGAATGAGTAGCTAGAGAAGATTCTCCGGGTGAGAATGAAGGCAAGACCCCATGAGATTACTCCAAATACTATTATCTTAATTGCTCTTACTTGTTCTTCCTCCATATGATTAATCTCCTTTTGTTTTTTCAATCCAAGACAAAATTTTGCTTGTGATGACAAAGAGAGATAGAGAGAATTAAAAAGATTTCAGTGATGTTAGTAGGCCGACATTATTGGTGGTATGTTAGTTGGGAACTTTGGGATTCAATGGTGTGGATCCCATAGACATTAATGTTTCTGGTAAAATTGACCTATAAAGATTTGATCCAAAGATTTTGGAAGTATTTCCTCTAGCTCCTAATTTTGCTTAAACTTCTAATCAGTTTTTGTTTCTTAGAGTATCTTAGGGTAAACATTACGTTCTTAAATTATATATGGTCTGTGTAGATACTAGACACCGAGACCACCACATGGCTTTTCTATGAAATAAGTTGAGGTCAACTAGCTATTTTCTTTTTAAAAAAGTCATCATCGGTAACCAATTTATTTGAATTTTTTGACCAATTTCTTTCAAAATTATCACAAAAAGACAAGAGGCCATAGTTGATAGATATGGAAATGCGTCTCATTTTTTGTTGCTCATGTCTCATTGGAGAGTACGTATTATTTAAAATTTTATGTGTTATGTTGAACAAATTTGATTATATTTTAATATATATTTTTCTAAAATCTGATTTTTTTTTTGTCTTAACAAAAAACAGTTATCTTTTAATATACTCCCTCCGTATTTTAATAAGTGTCGTTTTAGAATTTTTAATTTTTTGAATTGGATGTCGTTTTCAAATTTCTATACAAAATTTATTACTTTTTAATGTTTTATGATATCATAAAACATTAAAAAGTAAAAAATTTTGCATAGAAATTTGAAAACGACATCTAATTTTTAAAAAAAGAAAATCCTAAAACGACACTTATTAAAATACGGAGGGAGTAATATTTAACATTAAAGTATGTTGGTGATTGTTTTTTTTTAAAAAAGAGATGATATTTATTTTATAAACTAATTCAATTGCATATTTTTTTGATGAAATGTGAAATTTATATATGAATAAAAATCTAAATATGTATAATAGTTTATTGGTTTCGTTAGACTATAACCAAAACAGAGCAAAGAATTACAAAACAGAGCATGATGCTATGATCGTGTAAGTCTTGAGCTAAACCATCGTTGCATTAAGCCTCTCATCCTCCGGTTGTCATAGTATTTCAGAGACATGATTCGCGACCGTATCCGTCTTCTCGGTCGTGCAGGCAAGTTGGTTGTGAGTCCGGTAGTGCTTGTTGTGCCTTCTCTCATTTTTTTCCCGCCATAACTCATAAGTAATATAGTGTTGTTTGAAAAGCCAACCGGAGGAGAATGTAATCGTTACTCTCAAATGAATGTGTGAGCAGCCTCTGAATATTGTCCCATTCCAGTCTGGATCCGGTTCGGTTTGCAATAAGTCCCCCACAAACCCGAGCCAAACCATGAACGAATAGGGACAAGCAAAAAAACAAGTGATCTCTGGTCTCATCAGGCTTTCCGCAGAAAAGGCAAGCCTGACCATGTCCCCATTCTCGCATCCGAATTCCTGTCGAAAGTCTATCTCTGATTGCCAACCAAGTGATAAATGCAAAACGAGGGACGGCTTGCGGGAACCAAATGATTCTATTCCATTCCTTTGCGTCACGAGTCCGCAGCTGTTTCCAAGTATTAGTAGCAAAGAAGGTTGGCCGATACTCATCAGGCAAAGGTTGCTAATAAACTGTTTTACCTCCAACCCACGTTCAATTGCATATTTTAAGTAAATTGCTTTCAAATAATAATATTACGGTCTTTTTTTCTTTTTCACGTCCGGTTAATGATTAATTTAAATTGAGATACACAAAATAAGAATTTTACACAAGAATCACATCTCTTGGACATGCTGATTGTTTAAAGAATTGGAATTGAAAAAAATAGAGCAACAATGATTTGGATAATCCAAAAAAGAAAATTATGATAACAATCTCTGAGTCTCAAAGAGATTTTGAAACCCTCTAGCAGAACATCTGCTTGAGATGCAAAAGAAAGCTCTAAAACATAAATGGCTAATCAATGAAGATAAACCAAAAAGAAACAAAAGGAAATCAATCCTCCATAGCCAATCGGTGCCGTATATGTTTAGACGCTTGGTATGCAAGTAACCATAGTATGCGGATTTGGCCTTCTCTTTGATTAGGTAACCAAAGTATGCCGATTTTGATTTCTTCTTGATAAGGGCAGCCGGCAACGTAATGTGCCGCTCTGGCATTCTCGATGCCTCCAGGTGGCCATCGATTGAGAGCCTCTGAAGCTCGCACGAAAAGTAAGACGATGAAGAAAAATCTGATTTCTCCCAGTCGAGTGGACATTAATTGTGTTTGATAAAGCTATAGGTAGGGTCGTAGGGATGCTTTTTCTGTGTTAGAGAAGATCGAGAGAATGGTTTTGTGATTTTGAAATATATGTGTTTTTGTGTGTGTGCATGTGTTATATATAGAGGATGGACTTTAGAAACCGACCTTATTTCCTTTTTCTTTAGTCATTGAGAGACCGACTTTTATTTATTTCCTTATTTCATTGAGAGTCGTTAACGGGTGATAACAGGTATTAGAGGTTTCGTTAACGACTGATAACGGCAGGTCTATTTTGATCTGGTCAACGAATTCTCATGTCTCAAACGTTTAGTTCATGTTTTAAATGGCCACATATGAATTTCATGTTTTAAATGACATTTTTCCTGATAAAAAACCACAAGACTATTTACATTGGTTATAATCTTCTCTCTTTTTTTTTACTTTTAACATTCCACATCATCTTCTCTCTTCCACATCATAATTCAACACATACTTAATTTTTACTATCTATAATGGTTTTGTTTACTAAAATTACAACACTTTATCTTCTATTTTTTATTTCATATTTTTTATTTTCTTTGTGTTTTTGTTTTTATAATTACAGATTATTAATAACAATTAGTTATCGATTAAAAAAAATTAGGAGTTAAATAATTTTATAAAATAATTAAAATGTATAGTATAAAAATGCAGACTTTTTTATGTGTCCAAAATAAATGAAACAAGTCTCACTTTATAGAGTATGAAAATGATGAATTTTGATATAAAAATTATATATATATACAATTAAAATTATTAGAACATAATTGATGGTAAATAATTGAGTTGAAAAAAATCAAGAATGTGAGCGACCAATCAATGCAATCCATATGCCCCCTTGTTTAAAAAATTGCTAGGCGCTAGTCGGGGGCTCGGTATGGGCCTAGCGATTAATCAAAAAATCAGATTAAAATCGGAGATTAATCGGAGACTAGTTTTAAGGTTATTTTAATATTTTTAAAACATATTAATCCAATATTGTTTTCAAAATTGCAGTAAACACATAAAAAAATATTTTTGAGACAAATTTTTATGATTTTTATTAAAATTTGAACATAAGTTATTGTAAAACATCACAAACTCCCAACAAAAATGATTGAATAACAAAAATAAAAAGTTTTTTTTTTATACTTGCAATCCAAAAATAATCGGGGTATGTAAAATTAAGCGGAGAGTAATCGGATTAGGCGAGAATAATCGGATTAGGCGGAGAGTAATCGGATAACTGATTTCTTTAAAGGATTAGTCATTAATCGAGGCAGATAGGATAGACCTAGCGATTAAGCGGGGAGTAATCGGGGTAGGCGGGGATTTTTAGAACAAGGATCTGTCCCAATCATTTATCAATTCTTGCTTATTTTCTTTTTATCCTTTGCCACATGTCAAATAAGAGAATACCCACAAATTTTCAAAACAAATTTTGCCAGATCAACTTTTTGTTATTTTTAACAAACCGTTGCAAATATTCAACAGTTGAAATAATTTTTCAACTGTTGAAATAATTTTTCAACTGTTGAAAAAGTTGTCATTGTAAGTAGTCTAATGGAAGGAAGGAAATTTAAAGAGTTGAAATAGACCTGGATTTTCCAAAATATTCACATGTTCAACTTCAAACTGATGGCCTTAGCCAATATAGACGAGACTGGTCACAAGTATATAACAAACACATTCTAAATCACTTGGCCGTCAGTACCTTTGAGCACTGTTTCCTCACTTCACCTAGAGGAGCAGTCAAGACCTTATGACTTGATAGCTTGGTCATGGCCTTCTATGGTTTTCTATATTTTCAAGGAAGAATAATATCATAATTTAGGCAAAAATATAGCGTTCATGTATCTCACTTTGTTTAATCAGATTCAAATATGTTTTCAACAAAAAGAGTATCACAACAATCATATATTACCTTTTATGTTTTTCTATATTTTCAAAAAAAATTATCAACGTATCACGATCAAAGATATCACGTAGGAGTTTCAGTAAACTAAACAAGCAATTCTTGCCATCATTTCCTCTTTAAACCTCAACACTTGTGCTCAACCAATAAAATGTAAAGATTCCTTTGCACCTAAAACTCTCAAAAGAAAATATTTCTTGCATTTTCTTTAAGTCTTGTTCTGTTATTACTTCTTTGTTTCATTTTAATCATTCAACACTCTCTTCCTTCCGTATATATGCAATGCGTATGTAAAGTGCTTCACATAAAACAAAAAAGGCGATTTACTTTACACCTTCTGTCGTCTATATCATCATCCTCAGTATTAATTATTCAATTAGTTAGTTTTTCTTAGTAATATTAATTTTTTTTATATGTATTGGTACAATATTTTTAATTGTGCTATATTTTGTACAAAATGTATTTGTACCTCTTATCTTTCGTATGATTTTAAAACGATGTCCCATACCACTATTTTTTGAACTATCTCTATTTGTACCATTTCAAAACTCTGTACCACATCACCTATATATGTAAAACTTAACAAACTATATGTAGATGTAGTATCCGCTCTATTCATAACTTCATGGAACAAAGCATACTGAAAACTAATATTTGTTGAAATAAAACAAATCACAGATACTAAATTTCGGAAAGATTGATATTTGTTCCGCTTCAGTGTGTATATATGAATATATATATATATATATATATATATATATATATATATGATTCCCTATAATCGGTAGGTTGTCGATAGAATAATTAATTCGTTCTCGGCTAGTGTGTGTAAATAGAAAATAAGATATGTTCAATATCTTTTCAAATAAAATAAAACAAAAAAGT